TCTTTATTATTACATGGCCAAAGTTTGTTTCTGGTTGCAGTGTAGCCTGTAGATATCTGATATTCGTCCTGCACAAAAATTTCGATTAGAAGAAATGTGTATGCGATCATATTTCTTAAATAATCCATATTCTAGGCAGTTTTCATTTTTAGTTTTAAAAAAAAAAAGTAAAAACAAATCAAAGGTTGGCTACATGATAAATATAGAAAAAGTTAAGCTCTGTTTTTGATTATATCTTACTGCATTCGGCTTCTCAGCTTTGCTAGCAGTGCTTGTTATCGATGCTTCCTAATGCATGATCTCAGCATCCTAAATATGCATGTTTCCTTATAATTTTTTTTTTTTTTTTTTGTAATTTTCTTTTGCATGTGGCATATATGCATGGCATTATTAATCGTTACTGTATTGACGAGGGATTTGGTGAAGGATGAGATGTGGAGTAGAGAAACAACGAATTTTTGAAATGTTTTGCGAAAATGCAGCTTTTACCTCATGAGTGGGAAACCTGATCGATGCAGGAACGGTTTTCGACCGTATATTTTTAAAAAAAAAAAGACATTTGCGGTTTGTAGCTTAATATTTTTTCATACGTAGAGTTTGCCAGTTTCGAAAGGTCCAGTACGAAAGCGATAAATCCCGGAACTTACATACCTGTATCCTGTGATCACTTATATACCTATATCCTGTTTTGTCCCAGTACCAGGCTTCTTATAAGAATGCTTATTTTGTGGAAGAACTAGACCTTAAGCTGACAAGTACATGGACTTGTTTAACTTTGCTTGAACTCCCCGTCTGGAACATTGGCTTTGTTGGCCTCTTAAGTTTTACCGATTCCCAGAATAATTTCGCTGTGGGTGCATCCCAGCAACAGCAGAGACATTAGATGCCGACACTGATTCCTGAGTGGTTTTAGTGTTCTGGATATTTTCAGAAGATTGCTGTCGTTTTTGCCCTTGGAGATGGATATTGAATTGTTTTAAGGCTTACAAAGTATTTTCTTGCAATGCTAAAAAGTGGATCTTTAGACTCTGGATCAAATGTGTGTGTGTGGTGTGTGTGTGTGTGTGTGTTTGTGTGTGGTGTGTATGTCTGTGTGTTAATGGCCGAATGATGCCTTTTAATCTAGTTAGCGTTATGTCAGAGAAACTCGTTACTCTCGGAAACCCATAAATTCTAACCTCTTCCCCATTTCTCCTTGTAGAAAGTTTTAGCACCATCTCAGAAAAAAAAAAACATTTTCTGGGTATATTCCTGTTAATAAGCAATGTGACAGTGCTGAGGAAGAATGTCGGAGGTGTCCGTGTGTTCTGAAAAAAAAAAGATTGCTTAACGCTATGAGAGATAAAAATGAAAAATTATTTTGATATTAAGGACATTTTAAAATGCATTTTTCTGGGAATTCGGCAACAGACGACATAAGTTCACCCTCTGGCTTTATCCAGTTAGCTATTAGATAAGTCCTAATCACCATTAGCTCTTCATTTTTCAATTTTATCCCTTCTTTTTTCTGACAGAAATACATGAAAATTGCAAGTAAACACGAAAAAGTAACTAAAATATTGGTAGCTCACTTCGAATACACCATCAGTGGTGGCTGACAGATGTTTTCTCGAATTGGCTCATCCACCCCTCAGATTATCTGGTAACTAGTTAGACTGATACCGGGATTTCTACATAAAGGAACTATAGTACTTCGTGCGTACAATTATGTATTTAAGTGTTTTGGAAATTTTTTGAAAAATGTAAACTATGAAGGTTTGTTTGGCACTGTAGGCCAGCCGATGAAAAGGACACAGTCGAATATTGTCAGTTGTGGGGAAGCAGTAAGTGCTAATTCAGGTACCCGGATAAGCGAGCCTGTATGTGCATTAGCTGTTGCCCTCTCTGTGTTTCATCCCTAAACTGTAAACACAGACGGCAGAGTTTTTAATTTGACGTAACAGATGGCCCGAGCTTTTTGTATTTCGTTGATATTTGATCACAAGCCCCTGTTTGAATACATTAAGAGAGACACTTTTCTTGGTTTTGGAACCGCACACGAGAGCTATGGTGGAAATCTAACTTTATTATGTATAAAATGCTGAAATGATGAAGCCGGTTTGAATGATCATGCAGAAAACTGTGTTAGGCTGGAC